TTTTAAGAAAATAATTGAATTCCTTAAAAAAATTTTTGTTATTTATAAAAATAATTGAATTATTGAGAAGGAATTTATAAAAAAATTTGTAAATAATTGAACTTTGTGAAAAAATTTTTTTTATTTATAAAGATAATTGGGATTTTGACGAAATTTTTTTTTAAGTTTGAAAGATAATTGAATTTTAATAGAAGAATTTTTTCACTCTTGAAAATAATTGAATTTCTGCAATTATTTGTAATTTTTCAAAAATTGGATTTTTTTAAATGTTTTGAACAAAAATTTAAATTACAAATTTTTAAATTCTATTATTTTTAAAATTGCTAATTTTATCCAAAAAAAATATAAAAAATTCACGCTGTAATACTTTTAATATTTAATTATTATCTAAAATTTTAACTGAAAATTAATTTTTAATATTCATTTTTTTAACTTTTTATTAGAAAATTCTGCGAGAATTCAATTATTCAAATAGAAAAATAAATAATTTATTGAATAATTGACTGTTTAAAAAAATTGAATTACCATAGATAATTTTGTCAACAAATTTTTTAAAAATTGAATTCTTTCGACGAATTTTAATAAAAAATTTTTTATTTTTTAAGAATAATTACATTTTTTGAGGAATTCGATTAAAATTGTATTTGAAATATGTAATTATTGTAATTCTGCGATGAATTTTATTATTTTTGAAAATAATTAACTTTTTGCGACGAAATTTATAAAAAATTTGCAAATAGGATTGAATTCCTGAAAAGAATTTTATTTTATGTGTTAAAATAATTGAATCCCTGTAAAAAAATTTTATTATGTATTAATGAAAATAATTGAATTATTGCGTATAAGTTTTTAAAAAATTTATGAAAAATTAAATTATTAATTATAATAAAGAGTTTAGTAATTAACATTTGCAATGAAGGAAAAATTGTAAAAATGAAAATTTTCCTGAAACGTTTCCAAAATAAATTAACGATTAAATTAATAACTAGGTTTTTGAAAATTATACAAAATGAATTCATGAAGAATAATGATTAAATACGATTTAATCAATTAAATTTGTAAAAAGAAAGAAAAATTACAAAAATGATAAAATTTTAAAGATGAAGAAAAATTTTAAAAAATGGTGAAATTCTATAGAATTTTACTATTTCATAATTTATTTTTAAATAAATATAATTTATATGATATATAAATTATAAAAATAATTTATTTTTGAAAAATTTTTTATAAAAAAGTTTTCAACTTTTTAATAAAAAAATTTTCAAAAATAAATTATATTTGCCTAATAATAACTGAGTGAGAGTTATTTATGGAAAATTACTGAATGAAATAAAATTGAAAAATTTTAAAAAATAAGAATTACTTTTAAACAATGACTGTGTAAAAACTTATAATTGTATTAATAGAAAAAAGAATCTTGGTTTGTCGATTCACACATATATATATGCGCGTATGTGACTAGATATTTGTAAAGAGCAGAATGAATCAGTCGTACAAGTGTAACGACCTACAGTGACGTCAAAGTTGCACAACGAAACACGCCGGTAATTCCAACCTTATAATGGTAGCCGTTACCTTGTCCGATAGATTTCTCACTTGACGTTCTCTCCCTCCTTTAAGAATCAATGCACGATCGCATAAAATTCACAGAAATTCGCGTCCGCAATCTTCAATATATATATATCTATACCTATATATACACATTTTACCATATGTTGCGAGAAAACGTTATTCTGCAGGAAAAAATGAAGAAAAAAGAAGAAAAAAAAGAAAAAATAAATTAAATAATAATAATAATAATAATAATAATAATAATAATAATAATAATAATAATAATAATAATAATAATAATAATAATAATAATAATAATAATAATAATAATAAATAATAATAAATAGAAAAAGGACAAGAAAAAATCAAGAAGGAAAATTTTGCAAGTCATAGAACAATTTTTTTAATCACGTTTCCTATAGACACTTGTAATTATTACAGTGAATTGAAAATTTAAGAAGAAAATTTTTATTAATTTATGGAAAAATTGAATATATAGACTTTAAAAATTATGATCGGAAAAATTGAAAAGATAAAGTAAAATTGCCAACTCATGGTGAGTCAGTAAGCTCCTCCTAAAGCTCCTCGCGAAAAAACAAAGATTTTTCTCGACGCCTAATTATGAATCAGTGTCTATAAATGTAATATAGAAGAACAATTGGAATCCCGATTACGTGTCACATCCGTAACTATTAGATAATTTCGGAAATTTTTTTTTTCTTCATCTCGCCAAGAAATGAAGAGTAAGATGAAAAATATTGGTAATTGTAATTTTTTAGGAAATACCAGTCATTGTAGTTGTAAACAAGTAAATCTGTTTGTTTAATAACAATTAAATTCTAATTTATTATTCCTCAAATTAATAATTAACAATAAACGATTATTATTCTAATAATATTTTCTTCTAGAATTATAAACATAGTTTGAGAAACGTTTAATTCTAATTATTTATTATAATTTTTGTTTAATTAGCAAAAAAAAACTACGCTCAGAAAAAAATTTTATTTAAACCAAATATATTTTATTTGAGTTAAATAAACGAATATTTCTTTCAGAGCCAACTAGGTTATTTATCTGTTTTAAATAAAAATTTTATTCGACATAAATAAAACTTTTATTTGAAGCAAAGAAAATTTTATTTAATTCAAGTAAAATTAACTTGAAACAAATGAAAAGTCTACTTGTCACTGAGTCAAATATATATTTTTCTGGGTTTAATTATATTCAATTATAAATTATATCTAATTATAATGAATTCCAATTAATTAAAAATTATTCAAATTAGTAATAAACGATTATTAGTGAAATCAATATTTTTTCCTCTAGAATTATAATTACTAATTGTAAAAATTATAGTTATTATTTATTTTTATAATAATTTTTCTTATTTATATTTTTGAATTATAATTATACTAATTAAATCCTATATTACTTAAATTCTAATTAATCCTAATATTATTCAAATTATTAATAAAAAATTAATATCACAGTGACAATATTTTCTGTTAGAATTAAAAATATAGTTTCGACTCGAGAAACTTATATTTCTGATTATTTACTATAATTTTTATTTATTTAAAAAAATAGTTTATTTATATTAAATTATAAATTACAATGAATTCTAATTAATTAAAATTCAATTATTGAAATTAATATAGTAAACGTTTATTAGCAAGAACAATATTTTCCTCTGAATTTACAGTAACTAATTATAAAAATGATATTTAGAATTATTTATTTTTATAATGTAATTATTTAAATTATTGAATTACAATTATAATTGAATTAATTAAATTCTAATTAATAACATTATTCAAAATACGAATAAAGAATTAATGGGTAAGTGACAGTATTTTCTTCTAGAATTTTAATAACTAATTGTAAAAATTATAATTACGATTTATTAACTATTATAATAATGTAATTATTTATATTTTTTAATTATAATTTTAATCATACAAAATTATTATTAATTAAATTCTACTCAATAATAATCAAATCTTTAACTTCCGAGTAGTTTAATAATAAGGAAAATAAAAACGAAGACATTCGTGTCTAATTAATAATTATTCAAATTAATAAATAAAAGAATTTCAATTCTATTATTTTCCTTATTTGGAATTTATAAAAATGAAGATTAAGTTGATAATTTTGTGTAAATTAATAGCATATCATTTTTTCGAAATTTAAGATGAAAAATCGTATATATTTTTGATTTATTCAGAATTTATGCAATAAAATTGATTTCTCAACTTATTTATAATAATTTTTGTCATAAATAAACTTTTTTTTTCATTTTATTAAAAATCAAAGGGAAACATTCACTTTTTGCACTATCACTGAACTGTAATGTTTACGTTATGTGGTATAAATATCCTGAAGTTGAAATTTTTCAAAATAAGTCACGTTGAAATATAAAAATCATGCTTGCGGTTAAGTTTTACATAAACATTTCTATATATTGTCATGCCGATGGTTTTTTTTTATTATAATTAAGAAAGTAGACAGTGTGGCGATTGCAAATGAACGAAAGTATGTACAGTGAATAAGGACAATATGAATCACCTGCAGTTTCAGGTGTTTATAGACGAAGCAATTCATCTCACGTCTATGTACTTTTTACACTTTCTCAAATTCTATTTCTCTATGACAATATAAAGTAATGTCAAATATTTACGAATGTATTCAATGTTATTTAATTTTGTAAAAATAATAATAAGTTATTGGTAATAATTTAATAATGAAATTTTTGAATTTTGAAAAAAATATTAAATTATTAAATTAAATTATTATTTGTGTCGCTCCGAGGAAGAAAATTATTATTTAAATTGTTAATATTATTATTCCTTTATTATTATTATTATTATTATTATTATTAGAATTGTTATTACATTAACATTAATAAATTAAATAATATTTAAATTGATGATTCAAAGTGATCGTTAACCTTATTGTTCTATAATTTAATGACTAAGTGATAACGATAAGTAATGAAAATGATAATTTTTAAATTTAGTATTATTAATAATATTGTTATTTAATTAGTAATTAAATATTATTTAAACTAAGGATTCGAAGTAACCGTTAACTGAATTGTTCTATTATTATTTGATGAGTAAGTGATAATGATAATTAATGATATTGATAATTTTTATTTTTAAATTAATTAATTAATTTCTTATTCAGAATACTAACGAAATTTCAGTTCAGATTAGTTTCAATTTCAATAAATAAATCTTCAGATATTATTAATTTTTATTGAAAGCAAACTGTTTTCTTGTTCATTTTTAAAGATTTTTTTAAAGTAAAATTTTTGTTGTGTCAAAATTTCCTTTATTAAATTTTAATTCTTCTTTTACTAAATTTAAATTAAATTTTAATTCTCATTTTACTAAATTTTATTAAATTTTAATTTTCTTTTCACTAAATTTTATTCTTTTTGTTTACAGAAAAAGAAAGGAGTGTAAAAAGAGTCCAGCATCTTTTCGATATTGACGTGAGCGATTTGCAATTTGTAAGTAAATTTATTTTTCTTTACATAAAATGCAGATTTGCAATAATTTGGTATAAATTAAAATAATTCTTCGAAAAATTCATAATTAAATCGATTAATATTTTAATTTAATTATCATTACAACTATAAAAATTACAATATTACAAAATAACAATACGCAGAGGTGCGATTTTGTAATTTGACTTTGACTTTCATTTCAACATTGATTTTGTAATTTAACTTTCATTTTCACTCTGAGTTTGACTTTGACTTTGAAATTTGAAATGAAAATGAAAAATCAATATCAAAGTCAAAATCAGAGTGAAAATGAAAGCCAAAGTTAAATTAAAAAATCAGAGTGAAAATGAATGGCAAAATTAAAGTTTAAAGCGAATCGAAAGTCAAAGTCAAATTACAAAATCAGAGTTAAAAAAAATGTCGATGTCAAAATCAAAATCGAATCGAAAGTCAAAGTCAAATTACAAAATCAGAGTAAAAATGAAAGTCAAATTCAAAATCGAATCGAAAGTCAAAAACAAATTATAAAATCGCCGCCTTAGAATCACAATAAAAATATTTATAAAAAAAAATGCAAAAAATCAATTTGGAAACACCAAATTGATATATTGGATCGAATTTGATTGAAAACTAAAATTGATAAAAGAAAAAAAAATTAAAATTAACAAAAGAAAAAAAATTAAAATTGGTAAATGATTAAAAATTAAAATTAACAAAAGAACAAAAATAAAAATTGATAAATGATTAAAAATTAAAATTGACTATTCTAATGACACATTTAAATCCATTGTCATATAAATATAATAAATGAACGTATATTATTCTTCATTACGATACGCGGTCACTGACACGTATGATCTGTGTAAACTATTACTATAAACTTATAATACGCGCGTGCTCACGCTCGTTTGACCGTCATTCGAATGTATAAGTATACACGAATAAACTACGTATATATCTTTTATAAACTTTCATATGAAGTGTGTATAAACGTGCATTTTGTCTTTACAAATGTATGTGAAAATACATATAGCAACAACATAGAATGTCGACCTTGGCCCGCTGACCATGAGCGCGAAGTTGTTCCCCGCATTAGCGAGTACATATATTATTATTGTGCGAGACTTTTTAGCGTTTTATATGATGCACTTTATTGATTATCATGATAATTATCTCCTCTTTACCCCAGCAGAGAAGATGCATTAGAAGAGTTTCGATAAAAAAAAAAAAACAATTGGACTTTGAAATTGAAAAATAAAATATGTTTATAAATACTATTTTACTATTTACTATTTCTATTGTTTCACTATTTTAGTATTTTTACTATTTTACTGATTAACTAATTTACTAATTGACTATTTTATTATTTTTACTATTTTATTATTTTAACTATTCTTAATATTTTACTGATTTACTATTTCCTTCTTTTTACTATTTTACAATTAACTATTTGTACTAAAAATACAAGTTTACTACTTTTACTGTTTCACTATTTTTACTATTTTACTCTTTAAATAATTTACTATTTTATTATTTTAACTATTCTTACTATTTTACTGTTTTTACTATTTTACTATTCACTATTTGTACTAAAAATAAAAATGCAAGTTTACTACTTTTACTGATTCACTATTTTTACTATTTTACTGTTTAACTAATTTACTAATTTACTATTCACTATTTGTACTAAAAATAAAAATGCAAGTTTACTACTTTTACTGATTCACTATTTTTACTATTTTACTGTTTAACTAATTTACTAATTTACTATTCACTATTTGTACTAAAAATAAAAATGCAAGTTTACTACTTTTACTGATTCACTATTTTTACTATTTTACTGTTTAACTAATTTACTAATTTACTATTCACTATTTTTACTAAAAATAAAAATATACTATAAATAAAATTTTCCTAAAAATACAAGTTTACTACTTTTACTGTTTTATTATTTTTCTATTTTTACTACTTTATCATTTACTATTTCACTATTCAATATTTTTACTTCTACCTACTACTATTTACTACTACTTTACTATTTATTTAATATCAATACTATTTTACTGTTCACTATTTTTACTACTTTACTATTTACTATAAATACTATTTAATATTTTATTTACTTCTACTATTTATTATTATTACTCTCTAAATCTGAATTTAGTAGTTTTCTACTAATGAAATATAGTGTGAATTCATTTATCAATTGAATTAGTAACAGCTTTGTTTAATTTTTAGTAAAAAAAACTACTATTTTCTCGTAGAAAACAACTAATTCATGTAGTAATTAATTAAAGCTTTGTTGTTAAATTACAGTTAGCTTAACAATTAGCATAACTGTAGACAATATTTAAAAAATGTAAAAATTGTTCTAATAATGAAATATTATTTATAAACAAAATTAATAATAATTTGATTAATTAAATTAAATTAATAATTTTGTTAGTAAACCAAAAAAACACACTTTTTTCATCTGGTCTAAAAGAAATTAAAAATTGCCGGCAACAATAAAATGAATGATTCATTATAATCTATTGTTTAATGACTCAGACAAAAATATTGTCAATTAAGCGACAAAAGTTATTAAAAATATACGAAAATTTCATAAGTGATAAACTTTCCGGACTCATTGAATTTCACGGTTTTATTTCTCTCAAAAATATTTAAACAATATAATGAAAAAAAAATAGGCCACGAATTTGATTTCGAGAATTTTCTTATTTTTATTTTTAATTCAATTATTGTTTATACCAGTTAATTATATTATTTTTTTTTATTCTTTATATACTTGTCGTGTATAGTCAGCCAAAAAGCGTTCACTTCCTCATCAGCAAGGAAGTGGATTACATTTTTTATAAACATTTTTCTCTCCAATGTCATCTTATGAGTCAAATATTCTGTATTTGTCATGATTCATTTGTATTTGTATCTGTATATTGTATTATATATTTAATATAATACAAAAATATTTAATATAATACAAATTAATATAATAATAGCCAAAAAATAGAAAAAAATGTAATATCTGATATTATATTGTTTTTTGTTTCTATTAAATGTTCTGAAACATTAAAAGATAATTTTAAATTATTTGCTGCATTCCTAATTAAAAATAGTAATAACTGTGATCGTAACTAAAATTAAATTTTGTAGATATAATTAATTAGCAGTTAATTTGTTAATCAAATTTTAATTATTTGTTATTTTGTTTATTTTTTTTAAACTTACTAAATACTAATTTTACTAATTATCAATTGTACTTACTATCGACTTCATTATTACTAATTTTACTAATTATCAATTTTCCTAAGTATCAACTTCATTAATTACTGATTTTACTAATTACCAATTTCCCTAAGTACCAATGTCATTAATTATTAATTTTAATAATCACCAATTTTAGAAATAAACAAATTTACTAATTAATAATTTCACTAATTATCAATTTTACTAAATACTAATTTTGTTAATTACTAAATTAACAAATTAACAATTTGGTCATTAATAAGTATTAAAATTAGAAATTAGTAAAATTTTTAATTTGCAATATTGGTAGTTAATAAAATTAGTAATTATTATTAATATTGATAATTTGTAATATTGGTAGTTAGTAAAAAAAAAATTAAAAAATGTGAAAATATTAGTAAAATTAGCAGTTAATGAAGTTGGTAGTTAGTAAAATTATTAATTAATAAAATTGGTAATTAGTAGTATTAATAATTACTAAAATTAGTAATTAATGAAGTTGGTAATTAGTAATATTGGTAATATATAAAGTTGGTACTTAGTGAAATGAGTAATTAATGAGTTGGTATTTAATAAAATTGATAATTAATAGTATTACTAATTACTAAAATTAGTAATTAATGAAGTTGGTAATTAGTAATATTGGTAATTTATAAAGTTGGTACTTAGTGAAATGAGTAATTAATGAAGTTAGTATTTAATAAAATTGAAAATTAATAGTATTACTTATTACTAAAATTAGTAATTAATGAAGTTGGTAATTAGTAATATTGGTAATTTATAAAGTTGGTACTTAGTGAAATGAGTAATTAATGAGTTGGTATTTAATAAAATTGATAATTAATAGTATTACTAATTACTAAAATTAGTAATTAATGAAGTTGGTAATTAATAGTATTACTAATTACTAAAATTAGTAATTAATGAAGTTGGTAATTAGTAATATTGGTAATTTATAAAGTTGGTACTTAGTGAAATGAGTAATTAATGAAGTTTTTATTTAATAAAATTGATAATTAATAGTATTACTAATTACTAAAATTAGTAATTAATGAAGTTGGTAATTAGTAATATTGGTAATTTATAAAGTTGGTACTTAGTGAAATGAGTAATTAATGAAGTTGGTATTTAATAAAATTGATAATTAAGAGTATTACTAATTACTAAAATTAGTAATTAATAAAATTGGTAACTTATAGAATTACTAATTAATAAAATTGGTAATTTACAGATTTACTGATTACTAAAATAAGTAATTGTGTACTAAAATTACTAATTACTAAAGTTACTAATTACTGAAATTATTAATTAATAAAATTAAAAAATGAGTAAAATTGACCTTAGGATTTGGTAAAAATTTACTTATGGCTCTAATATAAAAGTTATTTTTTATTAATTTTCTTTCTGTGTGAAAAACAAACCCTTTGGCACTAGTAATGAAAAAAAGAAACAAATGGAAATAATCGTTTTTATATAAAAAAAATTGCAGAATGGAGAAAATGATTTTACATATCATTATGATTATTGTTTGCAATGTCCTTCAAAAATCGTAACGATGATCCGCATAGGGAACTAAACATTCCGATCTATACACAGGGAGGGCGTTCCACGAAGGTATAATATTGGAAGGTGCCGATGAAGTCATCAGCAATTTGATTAAGTAATGGCAGTAACGACTGTGTCATTACACGGATCATTTTCTCCGTGCAAGGTCTCTTTTCTCAGCTGTCAATTTATATTCTTGCATCATTTTTTTT